CCTCCCGAGTGCTGGGATTAAAGGCGTGCGCCACCACCGCCCGGCAGCAAGCAACATTTCTTGTAAACCTCCTGTACTTGCAGAAATAGGGCTATGGTACTGTTTAACATTTTTAGCTTCACTTTAGTCTCTGCTTAGTGAGGCTTCTGCACCCGAGCTCCTGCAGGTACAGCATGCAGAAATCGACCCACACACAGTTGTGGCTGTAGGTGGAGGAACAAGGTGTTCGCTGCTGCACATTTAGGGGCAATTTACTTAAAGGTCACTTACACTGTGGTATTGGGAACCTGTGAAGGAAGTCTTGATGCTCAGGCAGTGAGATCCAGACCCACTGGATCTGTCTTAGGTCTGAAATGAGTGTGTCACGTTACCCTCCTGTCAACCTAAACTCCTGCATAGTGTCTGGCCACTTAGAGTGTTCACTGAATTCAGCATTTCCTGCAGATGGTAACACATCTAATCACTTGCCAGAAATCACACTTGCTGGTACCACCACCACCACGCAGAGTATTAGAAATTTGAGCTTCATTCATTTCCCCCCAAAAAGGCCTTGTAAATACATATGTCTGCATAAATGTAATACTGACCATGGTTTGTCAGTTGCCTATTAAAGTAAAACTGTCCCTGTGAGACGGCAGCCAATGTAACCTGCACTTCATGTGTGTCCATGCTTAGCACAAGAGCTTCATGTGCGCTTCTGATACCATGCATCCCATGCAAGCCTTAAAGGTTTTAGCATACAGACAACAGTTTTTACTGCGGCTTCAGTGCTGCCACATGACTCCTGCCTTTCCCCTTCTCCCTGAGCTCACGGTTGGGGATGGGAGGAAAGTCTTGCCTGTTAGCTCTGTACTTGCACAGGCATGAGTCTCAGCCATCACTGCATCCACACAGCAGATGTCAAGCACTGGAAAGGTAGGCAGCACCTCGGTGTTGCTATGAAGACGGTGCTGATCTTGTGGGCCCTGAACAGGCTCTGGAGCAGCTCCAGAAGTCGGCCATAAGTCGGCCATCTTTCCAGAACTTAGGGCATAAAACCATCCCTCTCAGCTGGGGCCTCAGCTCACAGCTCCTAGCTGCTCTAATTTCCTCTCTGCTGTCCTTGCCAAGTATCTCTTTAGATTATTTTGAATCCTTTGTGTTTCCATGAATAATTGTGCTAAATGATTAAAAATAAGTGGCACCGACAGCTGCTTAATAGAAAGGAAAGAATCCTAGCTCTGCAAATGTGCTCCGTCCTGCTCTTAAAAGATGCCCGAGTTTTCCCCTTTTTGATGACAGCCGTGAAGGTTGACACCTGCTTTAGTCTCCTCTGTAACTGCGTGAACGTG